AGCAGGGCTAGCTGTTTTCTCCTGCTTCCAGTCTTTGTGCTAAGCTAAACTAACCTCCTGCATGCCGTAGCTTAATACCATACATATATGAGAGTGGTATCACAATCCTCTCATCTAACACTCAGCTAGAATGCACATAAGCTAATTTGAACTATTCCTTTAATTAAAATATAATGGATTTTGAATGTATTTTTGATATCGTAACATTGTGTACATGTCTGTGCTGTATATTTTGTCTGAACTATATGATTATTCTTTTTGCTGCTTTTGTCTTTTCTTCTGCTCTGTTGGATCAGGAATTTTAAATGAAAATTTAAAAATTTAAAAGTTGTTTAAATTTAAATTTTAAACAACTTTTAACTGCACCTGCATGTGATTTCTGTGAAACTCATTGAAACCTGTAGCATGCATTATTTCCCCTCAATACAACCGTGATTATGAGAACCACTATGTGAGCCAAGTTTTTCCTTTTCATTACATCTCCAGTATGAAGAAGTGGATGCAGAGCAGCTCCAGGGCATTCTAAACGACAGAATCCTGAAAGGTTTGGACTGTACAACTCCAATAGGCTTAACAGCATATTTTCCAAATAGAAAAATGTATATACTGATCTTGTGTAGCGCTGCTGTGTTGCACTGTTTTGGCCAAATTATCCTGTCATGCTTTTTTTCTTTTTCTTCTGTTTTTATTTAGGAGACTTGAAATCTGGAGGCTTCACCATTGATGCCTGTCGCAGCATGGTTGCTCTGATGGACGTATCCTCTTGATAGTAATTGTGAAGTGGTGTACTAAAAAAATGTTTTCAAACCCCTTTTCTTCATCTCGGCTGCTAATGTGCCTTTTCGGGAATCTCTCAAAGTAAATGTAGGTACCTACAACCCGTGTGCATGCCCAAACCTGCCTGCCCTTTTTACAGTTTCACACACAAATATATTTAAAGGTCAGGCTAAGACATGACACAACATGTGCTACCTTAATACCTTAATGTTGGGCTAGACCTCAATCACAGGCCGACTGAATGGTGAGGAATTTATTCGTCTGTGGAAGAAGATTCAGACATACAAGGTAAAGGAACTAAGTAAAGGTTAAACATGTCACATCAAACAAAGATGGTGGCTCCTTTATAATTACAGAATTGAATGTAGAGTTAGAGAGTTCATCCTGATTTGGACCAGAAAGATTTTCCCGATCAGGATGTCTTTGCTGTACTGAGCTCAGAGATTCACATGAACTGTCTTCTCATTAACCAGGACATTTTCTTCCGCACCGATGTTTCGCATACAGGAACACTGTCACTGAAAGAGCTCAGAAACGCAATCATGGCTTCAGGTAGACGACCAACCACTTCTTTTCGTCTACTATAGACATAACTGAATCATCCTAGGATTCACCCCTCTTATTTTAAATGTAATGACACAGCAACAGAAAATACATAATCTTGCCAACTGTTTGTAAATTTTTGCTGTAGGATTAAAGGTTTTGATGCATAAAGGGCTATGGAACAAGCTGCCAGATATATAATATACACACACTACTTGTGAAGTGTACATTATATATATATATATATATATATATATAGTATGCAACATTGCTGTGCATTCAAACTTAAACATAAGTAAAGGATCACAAGATAAATATAAGGCATTGTACTCCATTAATCATCTAATGGAGTATAGGAAGATCAAAGTTCTGCCACAGAAATCTGTATTCATATTTGGGAATTATCCCCACTCTTTGTTTCTTTTATGAAAAGTCTTTTCTGCAGTAGACAAGATTGAGCATGCACCAAGAAATGGCTGGGAATGTGCAACGAATGTTACCACAATTTGGTCCAACCCCCCTAACCCTCCACATCTTCCAATTCCTAAGAAGTTATTATAGTACAGCATGCTTGTGTATCAACAATATAAATACTCTTGAGTTGTCAATTGTGTAATGTCAATTTATTTTAAGAGATTATACATTGTTCATGAACATCTAAGTACTTAAACAGTTTCCAGCCACTTTGTACTTAAACACAGGGAGTCCAAGCACAATAACCCTTCACAGCAGACATTTTGACTTGCCATAGTAGGACATATTCTAGTAAACCATGACAGTGTGACAGTGCTTACTGAAATAAAAATAATCTGCAGATTAATCAGCAATGAAAACAATAGTTAGTTGCATACCTAAAGGAAATAACACCTAATCGGTTGACCTATATATGTTGGTCAGAAATGAGGATCAGTGATGACATTCTGAATCTGATGGCTCTACGCTACGGTTCCTCCTCTGGAGTCATTACACTGGAGAGCTTCATCAGTCTGGTTCTTCGCTTCGACTGCATGAACCGTAAGTCAGTTTGGATGGCTGATAACATTAGACATTACTTAAGTACATACCATTCTTGAAATTGTATTCTTGGTTTGGAGTTTGTGTCTCCTTTCTCTGTGACCAGCAAACATTTTTTCTCTTCCTTTGGAATACATTTTTTTACTGAAAGAGATAAAAAATTTGTCATGAATGAATCTCTACAACACTTGATGTAAACCCAAAAACACTTGTGGGACCCCTATTCCCAAAAACACTTGTGGGACCCCTACTGGTAAAACAGTATCTTCTCTGTATTTAGGGAGGAAACATGTGCTAATGGCCAGATAAAGAACAGCATAGAATAGGGCATGTTGGTGTGCAGACTGTAATAAGTGAGAGGATCTAGCATTACAAAAGTATTTTTCTTGAGTGCCACCACAAGGTCCACATTTATGGTTTTGAGTGAAACACCGTTTGGATGGTTTTCCATAACATGCCGCACACGTTCATTTCACCCTACAGATGAATTGCAGTCACTTGGTGACAGTCAGATTTTTCATCTAGCATCCATCATCTGGTCAAAATGTATTTTTTTCTGACAAAATACCTAGAACTTACATCCTCATCAGCCTCAGCTGTTTAGTGATAATTAGCCCATTAGCATGCTAAGAGACTGAAATAAGATGTGAATATGGCAAACAGTCAACCTGCTAAATATCACCATCTGTATGTTAGCCTTGATATTTTGATGTCATCAGGTTAACTTGTTATTTTGAATGCATGTACTGGGTTAGCAAAGGAAGTCTACACTGTACCAGTGCACCATTGAGTGTCTACTGCACTCTACTGGCAGCATACCATTGTTTCACATATGAGGCAGTACAAGTGCAGCAAGTGGCAAGGATGTGATCATAATGACGAGTTACATTTTAAATTAATGTCACTGCTTGCAGCAGACATATCTGTCGCCCACTGCTTTCCTCCACAGTTTCTAGCGTAATAAGAATTTGTGTCTTTGTCAATAGAAATCTTCAGACAGTTGACTGACGGCATGACCATGACTCTTCAAGAATCAGAGGTAAGAAAACTTATTCAGAGGTGTTAGAAATGTCTGGAAATCTGTAGGTAGTTCAAGTTTTTACCTTTTAAAAAGAAGAAGGAAAATATCTCACTGGGAATTGTACTTGTTTCAAATACCATCCCCCCTGTGTGTTGAGTGTTGTTAGAAAACGCATGCTTGTACTACTAGTTTTAGTT